TAAGACCAAGTGTGTAAATGGCAAAAAGTTGGTGTTGCACGTATGTTTAATCGTCACGTAATTGCTATCTTAGACAGTTTTAAGCTTTTCCTTTATTCTGCTTATAACTATTTAAGTAGGCATTCTACTTCGTTTTAACCGCTTAAACCTTATTCAAACGGTATTCAATTCGTCCAAAAAGTCGTTTTCAGAACAGGGTAACTTCTAAAACCTCAAAGTTTTGTGCTCAGAAGCGTGTCCATAGCGCTCTCAATAAGTGAGATAAACAGTTTCGTGACCCGAGTTATGCCTGTTTCTGGCAACCCGCACTTTGTGCAAATGTAAGTTACAATAACTTCGAAATGCACAAAGCGTAGAGAACCATGTAATGGACATTTTGGTAAGACCTATTCGACTTATCTGCCATATGCGCTTTTCTTAGCACTGTAGCCATCACGAAAGGATCTAAATCGCCTATCACCTGCTTGCTGCATCAAGGTAGGCGACTTCTTTTGTGAGCGAATATCTCAACAGATTCATAGGAGTTTTATCGGGTGGATAGGAAGCGATGGGTGAGAGATTTAGCCTTTCTCCTCTACGATTGGAAGAAGCCAAATTTGATTTAAAAAAGTGCTCCGCTTAAGGAATCTTCGTGCACATCCCGAAACCATCACGTCAGTGGAGAAAATTAAAGCAAATTTGTATTTTAGGCTACTGTCTAAATTGCATCCATCGAATAGCATGGGGAACACACTAGTACATAGATTTCGAGTATGCGGGGCCCTCATAAACTGCTACTCTCTGCTTCTGCAAATGTGCTCTAAAGTCGCCACTTAGGTCAGTCTGCGTGCACTGAGTGTATGCGTGTGTTACGATATGTTGAATGCCCTAACTTTGTGCGTGTGTGTGTGTGTTTTGCCTCCGAAATGCTGGCTTCAAATGTTATTAAATTCGGATAAAATAAGATTTGTAAATGTGCGCACTCATTTGTGTCAAGTTGTTTCCAATATCACCTTGCGAGTGTGGGTGTGTGTGGCGAGGCTTAGTTTAATGCCATTATTTTGTATCCAATTGGAGTGTGGACAAAGTTTCCATATTTCTTTGTGTCCCAGCTCTAGCGTAGCGGTAGTTGTGTTGCTTCGATCTTTCCTATGTCTGAGTGGCCGCTGTAGGTCATTTGGAAGGCTGATGGCGTGTTAACGGTGCAACAGCCTCGAAATCGCCGAACCCGGCATTGATCTCCAAACACAGTCATTAGGTGCTTAAATGGATCAGTGATGACGCCTTTTAATGACACAAAGACCTCCGAGCTGGACGATGAAGATCCCTAGAGGGGATGTTGGCAGTCCACTCCCGTGCATTCAATGCAAAACCCATCACAAAAGCTTGCAGAGCATTGATCCACCAGTAAAAAAAATAAAATGTGCATCATTAAAAAAATAAAATATCACAGATTTTGGGCCTTCTGGGACATGCCCACCACAAACATGCGGCTCATGTAAGTGGCACAAGTATCTCCACTTCTCTCCCAATTGTCGACTTTTGTTAGCATCAATTTGCAAAGGACAAATCGCAACAATTGAGAAGTGAAGTGAGCAGTCGCTGAAATGTGTTCGCTATAGAATTTGCGAACTTTCAGGTTCTGGAGCCACCTCAGATGAAGTGGAATGGGTAAGTTACGCATTAGGACGCTTTTTTCTAGTTGTAAATCTGCGATACATTTTTTTGTTGCCCTCGTCCTAATGCAGTCTAGCAATGACTTCACACCCCTAAATGGCAGCTTAATCCTAGTTTTTTGTAGATATCCACCTGAGAGCCTGGCTTTTGTACCTTCGCCTGACGGCTGGCCCTTAGTGCTGATTCGCTGACTCCTACGCCTTCTCTATCCACATAATATAGATTCTGCCCTGGAATTATGATTTTCTTCGTCTCCAGATCAATCTTTGGACGACCTACGAAGACTCCTTTCTCGTCAGTTTACATTCCTTCAATGAATTTTGTGAGATGTATGTTTGGATACATGCTTTTTTGATTTATAAGAGGCAAACTAATGCTTTGGAAAAAGGCTGCTGGCCCACTACCTTCGCGCTTCCTGCGTCCAAGTCCGTCACTCACAGGTTTAGCGTATAAAACTTACTTTCATCCACCCACAATGCCCAAGCCTTCGACGGCCTTAAGTTTAATGGTGTCCAATGAAATCAGATATTTCTTATCCGCCACTGTTTGTAGGAATAAATATTTTTCATCGCATAGCAAGCTAAAGCTAATTCTCATACTTAAATTCTTATAACTTTGTTCAGAAGGGACTACTTTAAAGCCCCACAGGTTGTTTAAATGCTTCAGATAAAAGTACAACTCCAGAAGAAAAATAAACTATTTATCGGCTGGTTGTAATTTAATGCTACGGCATAACTCATGCTCGGTCAACACTGCCTCGGGCATTTTGCTCCAAGACCAGCTGGCAAACTGAGAGCATTCTGCTATCCAAGTGCCAACCATGACGGTTGCATGAGAGAGGGAGTTAAATTAAGTGAGACATTGTCTCAGATTTACAAAGGCTACCTATGAGGAATCATTTTTAGTTAGTTTAAGCAGGATAAGAGACTCTTTTTTGAGTGCAGGCATTATTTCACATGCCCGAATCCAACAACCAGCAAATCTCAGACATGAAAACACTGTGTTGAAGGTTTCGTTTGTTCCCTAAAGCTACTAAAACTCCTTATAATAATTAAAAAGCAAACAATTTTCCCCAAATTTGTTATTTACTTTTCCTTAGTCGTTCAAAATTTACACAATTACAAAGGATTTTTTGAAGCGCTGGGCTTTTAAACTACCTCTAATTTCTACGTCTTTAACGTACATGTTGCCGCTTACCTGCCATAAGTTGCTACCGTTACATTTGTATTGCTCCGATGCGGTAGTTTACTGTTGTAATATGGCACCAGCATCCATCACTTTAATGGCTATTGTATTCACTGGCGCCAAGTGGCTTAACCCAGACACCGTTTGACACCCCAGGTAATCGACTTGCAACACAAGACTCTGTGTAAGTACAATTGCTAAAAGTGAGACAGGATGATATACGAAACTTCAAAAGCGCATATGAGGTGTCTTATTCGTGACGGCGCTAAGACTATTAAAACTGGTTCTGAGGCGCCCATCACAACTGTCGCCTAAGCCAAGCACATTAACAAGTACAGGATGGATCAGGTGTCACATTTTTTATTGTGTTTTTATGAGCATGTATATGAACTGAAGAACAAGTCATTGGGATTGTCTTTAAGGCTTAAGAAGGGGAGGGAATTGGGAAAGGAAAGAATATGGGGGATACCTGTTGTGCATACACAGATAATCCACCTGGACTGCAGCACTTTACAATCACGTGGACTGAGTACAAAGGGCAGAACAAGGTAAGGTAGGATTAGGAAAACACGTGCATAAATCCTGCAATCAACTCAGAGAATGACTAACCAAAAGGCGGGGTGGATTGGAAAGGTGAGCAGAGAAGGTCAAAGGATTTAAAATGCAAGGATGAGTAAGCAAGGTCAGTTCAAAAGCAATCTCAAGTTACAGCCATTGAGGTGTAAAATCGACGGTTGGAGTTCAAGCTAAACAACGAATTACACTTATGCAGTTAATAAAATGTATTGTATCAGCAATAAATACAATATTAAAGCTGTGCTATCATCAGTAGGCTGTGCGTTTCGTTAATTTAAGAGGTGATCTTATTATTCGTAAAGAGATAGCTTAACTTGGCTTCCTTATGTATTGCATTTGTCTCTTCACTACCTTGGCTTTGACGTGAGAGGAGGGTACGTTTATGCCGCTAAAGGGCTTATTAATACAACTTTCACTCTGTCCTCGAAGTTATGTTTATGCCAACAACTTGGTGTTTCTAAGTTTTTGCTTATTTCAAGGCAAACTGCAATGAGATTGTGCAATGTAATGCTACAATGCAAAAATTTTGACTTATCAAGTACAAACGCATTCTTAAAATCATTACAACGCTAAATTTTGATACTAGGTAACAAAGCCCTCCTATCACACAAGTGCGCTACCGAAAACATTAATTGCTACCACATGTAAGAGCGTTTTCTAGAGAACTTTGCAACGAACCAGTAATGCTAAAATGAGGTAACTGGACCCTGATTTTTGAACTTATCCAAGGGGACTCGAAACATTGCTTCCTGCACAAGCCCTGATTAAACTTAGGCGCTTTAACCAAACGAACCTTTGTTCGAAGATTAACGATTGAAATTTGAAGTTATGAACAAATTATTTGTGAATGTTCTTCAAGAACGGATATACATTTAAATTCGTCTTAACTACTTCCTAACTATCCAGGGTATGCATCCAATTGTATAAGTACACGTCTTCTTTAGAATTATGATACGTGTATAGCAGCAGTAAATGATGTAAAGAAAGTGTTGTAACAATGCTAAAACCCCATATTGAGAACTACGGATATTAAACTGTTTCAAACTTAAATGCATGGTGCTCAAATTTTTCCTAGAACGTGATTAGCTAAATTTAATGCACTCTTAAACAAAAAATTGACAGAAGTTTAACATTCTTTTACAAAGAAATCCTTTTAATGCAAAATTACATTAAATTCGAGTGCAAGTCCATGCTACATTCGTGTGCAGATGCATCGAAAACTTCCTCGTGTGGTTACGCATCAAAGCATCAACGAACTCACACAAGTTCCTTGGATAAAAGCTTTCTAGATAGATAACATTGGGTTCTTCCTATAAACGCATAAAAATGCGCTAATTGTATCCTTTGTAACTTGAAAAGTGATTTGTAAGTTGTCCTGACGTTTTCATTGGACCAGATCTGCACTGTCACGGGCAGCACGTCGATTGGTTAAAGTTGCGAGTCGCGTCCATCTTCTCATTGGTCAATCTCTAGATACGAACCAATTGGTCACAAGACCTGGCTAAGCTGAGCAGATGAGAATAGACGAACCAGCAGAAAGGCGAAAAAGAGTGACTTGGAAATCGGGGGGATTTGGTGTTAGCATGTCTATCGTTACAGAAGTGGAGGGAAGCGGGTACCATCACAATAACAACAACAAAAGCCGTCAGGAGAGAAGTCGAAGTGGGTGTGAGGCGGTGGAGGCTAAACCCCTACCTTCAAATGTCCAAATCACCCCCTCAACAAGTACGCAACATTCTTCCATCCAATCCTTTGGCGAAGATGATAGTGGTGTACCGATACCTGATTACACATTCTATCAAAATCCCCATCAGCTTCATCAACATTCCCAGCATCACCACCAATCGTGGTGCCTTCCAGAGGCGGGAGTTATTTTCTATCCACCACACCCACTACCACACCTACAACTACAACCACAGGCACCTTCACACCCGTTACAAACAACACCAGAGTCAATAGCATTCTACGGTCAACAAGGAGAACGCACGGAACCCACGCATTGTACTGAGAGTCGGATTACTCAGAGAGGACGGTCTAAGTCTAGTGGAAGTTCTATTGATGCACCATGGGACATTAAAGATGGTGTTCTGCCCGTGGTGAGGTGTTGCGTATTTGTCGTTTGTTTCAAGCATGTTTGGTTAATCGAAATCGTGTTATCCTTTGACCCGAATTTTTATCATTTGTTCCCATCATCAAACATTTGAAATTTAATTCATAATCAGATGCGATAGTATCTTAGTGACATTGGAATCACAAGGCTGTCTGGGCTAAGAGCACTGCGTAAACCGAATTTCATATATTTTATAAATTCTTATACACTTTGCGTGCAATATGTGTCATTTGCATAAAGTTTTGCATTGCAAAACTGCGCATTTTGAAAGGCGTTGCAGGGACTGAAGATTATAGTCATCAGTCCTTCTGATTGCAAGGTAATGTTGCACTTTAAATTCAAAAGGAACCATTTTTGCCCGTCATAATAAACTTTGGTCCTTGACCTAAGGCACACCACTTTATCGATACCCTAAGACTGTGGTAAATATAAGTTTAGCGATATACTGATTTTTGTTTATTACATAAATTCAATTAAGCTGTTTTCCGATTTTCTGCTGCTAAGATACTTTAAACGTATTCTGCGTAGATAAGGTCCGATTCTATTGAACTCATTTTTTCAACTTTTTCGAGCCAGGTAACCACTTTCGATCCCTACGACCTCTGGCCGGATGGTAACTGTCGACGCATCTACTCTGTGTCAAGTGAGCGAGCAAGAAGACATCAGAGCGGATGGGCGATGAGGAATACCAATAATCACAACCCACAGGTTCTTAAAAAGTCGTGTCTTGGTGTTCTTGTCTGCTCCCAAGGATGTATCACCTCTAGTGGCCAGCCTGTCGCCTACCGACCCGCCATCTGCGACAAGGCGCGCAAAAAACAGTGCAGTTAGTTTAATTTTAGGCACTTTTTTGTAGAGGGATCTTCTTTTGCATGATTGTTTTACAATGCCATAATCCCAGTATGCCTTAGTTGCATTCGGCTTGGGCTGGATGATCCTGCATGTTGACTAAGTGTTCTGGGAAATTAATGGATTAAGTAGCAGGTAGCATAGGACACTAAAAATGAAAGATTCCATGAAGATTTCATGGTAAAATTTTAAACATTCGCAGGTGATTTCTCATCCCGAAGGAAGGGCGAATGGTCAGAGTTCACAGGCACACTGTTAGGCATCTAACATCGTAGAGTAAAACGGGGTACTATGAGGCTCCTGTTACTCCAAATATGTTGGAAGGTTCCACTGATTGCTGCCTTTAGCAGTCCTAAAATGAATCTTATAGGTTTATCAAAATCAAGGTGAGAAGTGGGGACTCCACTTCCAATCTGGTTACTGACTGCTATGCGATAGTCTAATTTGAGGGCGATGGCGGGATCTAAAAGGGGCCACGATGCCATGAGAAAATCTTAGTTCTGTAGTTCACAGTTCACATTAACAAGACACCTAGTCGGCAGTGCTGAGGACTATCTTTCGTTACTATCGACATCAAATTAACCGATTCGTGAATTAATGGGTGTGCTAGTTTAAGGTAACTTTAATCTTATGGTAGAAAGGAGTTTATAGTCATCTGAGGTGTTAGCGGGATGGTAGTTCTGTCAGCGATACACTTGTCGCCCTTTTTATCGACTAAATAGCAGTGCTTCATGTCGACTATGCAAGCATCGCTGCCCTCTACCCAGCCCCCGATTTTGTCATACCAGTCACGAATTTTCCTATTTTTGTACAAATGACTCGTATGATGGCCGAATAACCTCTGATCAGCGTGAAATCGTGTCTCGGACAGCGAACAAATCGTTTAGTCCCATAAAGGCAGTAATATTATCAGTTGAGGTCAGCTCCCCTTCTCTGTCCAAATAGGTTTATTTCACTCCTCTACACCCTCCTCCGCATTCGATCATGCGCCTATCGAAAGCGAATGTCAATGTCAGGGAAGAGTTTCATACGCTCATCGGTGAGGGAAATGCTGTCAGTGAGGATCAGTTGAGACAGAGCCACCCACCTTCCCGTTCCAATGCGGTACATTAAGCCCTCTCACCAATAAGCTTTCCAGTCTCATACACACCACCTGGCATTGTCCTCTCTTTGACTGCATAATCTAGCCAATTTCTGAAGTAAAATTTTTCTTGCTCATGTGGATCTCATCCTCATCTATATTGTCTACAGCATACATTAATGTCCGATCATGTTTCACCACCCGCGAACAAATGAGGCATTGTCCTGAGCGACCTTAATGAACGACTCTTAGAAGCGCCACTGGGTGGTGGAGAGTTGGACCCGTGGGCCACTGAACTAATAGGACAGTGTAAAAATGATTTGATTTTACTGAAATCATCTCAAGATAGTGGCAGAATAATGACCAATGTATTCCTATAAGTTAACAAGTCAATGTTTAGGTGTTTGTAAGTGCTTTCTGCAGTTTTGCTACGTGGTAAAAAAACTGGAATTCCAGTTTTATTATTACTCACACAAAACAAGACTGAACGTTTCTAGTATTTTAATCTCCGCTTCCTTTAATGTATAACTCGTTTATACTTTATGACTAAACTACCGGTATGACAGATTTTGTGGAATCGAATTTTGGACGCTGTTGCCTTCTAGACTGCATTTATCTTACCAGCACCTGCTCTTTGACACAAATGACAAGATGCTCAAATAACAAACTGTAAGATTTCGAGTTAAGTCCATTTTGGCTATCTGGCTGACCCAATTGAGAAGGCCAAAGTGAGCATTTCCATAAAAAATAGCTGATCCTTGAGGTGACGTCTGCCTATGTTAATTGTACCAATTTATTTCACAAATGCCATTGTAGTGATTCACACCTTCTAATCACATGAGAGTCACCTTTTTTACATTTCCATGTCTTGAATTCCACTGCATCATTTAGACAATGGTAACTTCCAATTTGGGGAGTGAACAAAAACACCATCTAAAATGGACAAATTGTCCGTTGCTCTCTATTTGGTAAGAGAGTAACACCTTTAAGATAATCCCATTCCATGTGAGCTCCACTATCTCTTCTGAAGGACTCAGTCACATATAGCAAACAATCTTGCAGCTACGAACTTTCAAATAATGCTTATGACGGATTTTTACGCTGGCAGAGTAATGAAAAACGTGAAACTTCTTTTCCTATTTGACCAAAATCGATGAAACCAAAGGAACATGCCACACCCACATCCAAACAGGCGAGAGCAGGTGATTCAATTCGAGGGAATTGCACGTCGGTGTCATAAATCCCCGACCCCTTAAACGTGAAAATCCTCGCCCAAAGTGTTCCAGCACAGTCGTGTTTGCTCCTTTTGTCCCGGTGGCATTAGCTGTTCTGACTCCTTTTGAGTCTTTTCAATTCGAAAAGCTGTGAAAGGGCACAATTCAGAGCTCAAATGGTATTAGAACTTGTTAGTAGAGCCTAATTCCTCCCCTTATCAATCGGAAGCTAAAAAACGGGGTTTTATCAAGGCCTCAGTTGACTATTCCTTTAATTAAACACGTCTGGAATTGGCTCTGCAAACGACTCTCATGTCATGCATTACAGGCGGTCATGAGGCACACTTGCCACTTTTACTTGGATTCAAAAGTTGTCGGTTGATTTTGAGACAATTCATCAGACTCCGCTTTCCTATCTTCAGTGCGTAACTGCACAACTCCGGGCTGCAAGGGTCGCTTGGTACAAAAGAATTGCAAAGGCCACGGGGGCTATCCAGTGACACATTTTTGGCGGTTCTACAACGGGGCGGTCTTCTTTCAGGCCAAAGGTCGCCACGACCACGTTCGACCCACAACAAAGGCGCTCAGCTCGAGTGCTACCGCAGCTGCAGCCGCTGCTGTTGAATCGGGAAAAGCAATCGTGGAGGAGTCGACTTCAGCTTCACAACGACGCAAAACTCGACTGCCCACGCCGTCTAAGATTGCGTCAATGTGTGGTGATCACGACTTTAGCGTGAGTTCTTTATTTACGTCGTCCTTAATCCATCTTACTTATGTTCTTTTGCACTGACTTGTTTGAAATCTAATCCCGTTACTTCACCTTGCAGACGAA